AAGGCGCACCAGTATACACGGTTAATGACTGACAGCACAGCAGTTTACTTCCTTGAAAAGAATCAATAAAAGCCATGCGTTGACCCGATTCGGTGGCTCAGTCTATCTCTGAAGACTAAGTCCCTTGGTCTCGCTCTGAAATCTTACTTTTGTCTCTTGTACTTATTCAATCTGCGCCGCCCCTCTCGTGTCCCATTTGCCCTTGCCACGCTGGACGTGACACCTTGGAAAATAATCTGATCTTTAAAAATAATTGAAAATCTTTAAAATTCATGTTTAATAGTGGGGAATATTTCTTGTTAATCAAGAAAATCTTAGCAGATATATTGAGCAGTAAACAAAGAGGCAGTTCTACTAAAGGCAAGACTGCGAAAGGGGCTGTTCAGGGCTGCTGCCACTCACCAAGGCACACACTGCTGGCGTGGGGACCTAAAAGGGAGGAAAGGAGAGGAAATACAACATAACGTCAAAGAGCTATAATTGTATTTATTCTTATAAGATGCACGAACTGCAAATTCAAAAAAATAAGGAGAATCCATTTAATTATCATACTTAAGAATATTTTTAAAAATCAACAAATCTATTGTGAAACAATGTTTCCTGTTTAGTAACAGTAATAAACAGTAAACAGTAATAATTTAAAAAGTAAACAAACACAAAAATCAGTTTCTACTTATAACAAAATATTCTGACTCTTGTTTGAAATAAATTTGCAGACTCATATAAAGAAACTTTAAAATTTTGGAGGACATAAAAATGACACAAAAAAAAGCCTGCCAAATCAAATTCTTAGGACATGGTGACAAAAATCTCAATGACTGCAGAAAGTTGGTGCAGCCCATATTTAAAAGTTAAATGCAGTCTCTCAACATAACAAATGAGAAATATCCTAAAACACAATTTTGTCTCAATTTTGATTTGGGGTTGAGGATATAGTCAAAATAATCATGAAAAAAAAGCAGAGACAGGTCAAATCACACCTAAATCTATATTACTTGAAACTTTAAAACAAGTCAAATTAAAGTTAAACATTCTTGAGCCGGCCGAGTGGCTCAGTTGGTTAAGAGCTCGCTCAAGAGTTTGAGCTCTGAGCAACAACAGTTTGATTCCTGGCCCGAGATGAGCAGCCGCTGAGTTGCCAACAGGTGGCAGGATGGCTCAGCTTAAAAAAAAAAAAAAAAAGTTTAACATTCTTAAACAGTAAATATCAATGAACGGAACATAACATTTTATAATATGAAATAGGTGACACCTTCCAGTGGAAACAACAAAAAAGCAAAGAACATGAAAGAAAGATTTTGGTTTCATCTTATAAACATAAGACCAAAGTACAAAGAAGTGTATGTGTGTGTGTGTGAGATTAAACTACAAAATATAAAACAGTACCTAAATGCACATCAAAATGAGTCAAATAGAAAAGTTCATTTTACATATACATGTCTATAATGAATAAAATTTATTCAGTCACTGAAGTAATTAGTGAAATGAAGACAGAAACAAAAAGTTGTATTGTATCCAAATCTACAAATACATATATTTGTATAAATACACACACATAGAGACACACACGACGTCCTGGTTAAAGTAGGAGAGGGCATCACGAGTTGGTGAATATCTTCGTAGTTGTGTGTGTGGGGGGAGGTCTTGCAGAATTTATTACAATATGAAATGCACCTCTTCTTGATCCAGCACTCAAACTCAAACTTACCCAAAGTGCAGGAACCCTTACATATGTGCAGAAGTCAATTCTTTAAAAACCCATGAACACTAGGGTCTCCTTGGGATGGATGTGCTGTGAACGATTTAGAAATAACCCTACTGTTAGACATTCAGAATGATTCCAGTTTTCAACAATTACAGAATAAAACACACAGAATAAAAAATGAAATGCCACCTTAATTTGTCACAGCTATCAGTTTCTAACCTCTTCTTTATATTGCAAATCATTAATTTTTTGAGGCCAAATACATAGATTTCCTTCGTTAAGCTTCAGATGCATTGTACAATCAGGAAGAACAAATTTCACTGTACTAATATTCTTTTCCTGGACATTTCATGTATTTCTGACATATTCACTACTAAATATGTGCAGTTTCTTTGATCCTGGTTTTCAGATCTGGTCCCTACGTAATCCCTACTGGCCAAGCTGATACCACGGGGACCAGCCCTATTCTCCAATCAATGTGTGGGCATGAAGCACTTCTCATGATGATCCCCCAAATGGAGCCACTTCACAACTTCCATGTCACTGGTTCATGGTGAGATGGACAAGGCTCTTAATGAGAGAACACTGAGGGAAGGCCACAGGTGAGTGAGGAAATGTGTTACACAGAATACTTGAGAATGAGAGGTTAGCGTGTACTAAAAACAGCATTTCAGGAAAGAGGAGACAGAACAATTAACAAATATGACTTGTTCCAGAGAAAGGGCCATTCCTGATGCCTCCTTATCTCCTTCTCTGGGCTTGTTTCTCAGCCAAGATCAGTCTTGAGAAGTCACTGCTGAAAGCTGAGAATGTGCCATCCAGGTCTTTGAATAACTTATCTTTCCTTCGCCACAACCACACACATGGGCAGACATTCAACATGTGGCAAAGAGGGTCATTTGCTATCCACTGAACCATCAGGTAACAAGGACAAATTCCTACATGGAGACCAGCAGGTGAGTTTGCCCTTTGCTTCATCCTGATGAAGCCCACTGTCCCATGGAAGCTATGGGGGTGTAAGTGGGTGTGATCCTCCCTTTTAAGTTGCAAGCCTCGCAGTCTCTTCTAGTACCTGCTGGGCACAGGATCACCAGGTGAGGGGCAGAGCTCCCTTTTTCTCCTGTTCCTGAGCTTCTCAGGCCCTCCCCAATTCCTTCCTCCACCAAGCTCCCTTCCCAGAGCCAAGTGCTGTCTCTTAGGTGGAGAGATGCCTCTGTTCTGTGCTTAGTTTAAAAAAGTATTGGTCTTTCTCTACCCAGCTGTCCTGTTACTCTGCGTCTGTCTGGGGGCAGGCAGAGATGTGAACTGGAGAGGCCAGTAAAGAATAACCACCATTGCCTCACAAGCAAGGGGAAGGCGTCCCGTCTCACCCTGTTACAAGTATTCCAAGCCATACTCCTGGTGAGAGCAACTTCTCTTTCATGGTTTTATTCATAATGATTAATATGCTTAAATCAATCTTTTCCAGTATATCACATTTATGCATCAAATAATGTAATAATAATGATACTAAGAGCTAACTATTAGCACTGGAAAACATAAAAGGTCAGATAGGAAATAGCTCAGGGTGATGTTTTAAGAAAGAAAGGAATTGAAGAAATCATACACTTAGTTGGAAACTTTAGCTCACAGATTAAATGAAAAGATCCCATAAAAGACAGGCAACTGTTGAACAGATTATGTTTAAACTTGGTTTTGACTGTTAAAACAAAAACCCTCAATATGCCTCCCCACTCCACACTAAAACAGTGTAAAATTATTTACTAAGCACCAAATAGTGCTTCCAGTATATAATAAAAACTGGAAAAGCTTTGAAGTGTCACAATCTGAATCTGACACAATAAATTTAAAAGGGAATGTAATGTGGAAAATTTACAAAGCATTTAATACATTTGTAATCTACCCTTCTATTGCCCCAGCTGCTACTGTGGGTCAAAGTCCCCTCACCCGCGTGCCCTGCAGCTGCTGGCCTGGCCCCGCCCTCACTGCTTTCCCAGCTCCGTGGCCCCGCCCATTTCCCGTCCGCTATCTGACTCCTCATTACGCCCTCGCCCCCTTACTCCTTCCACCTCCCGGTTGCCTCCCTCTTCTCCTCAACCCCCCACCCTACTCTTTGACACCCACGGGGCTGGAATGAAGTTGCCCTCGGCCTAAGAAGAGCTCGTTTTCCAGCGGGGTGTGGGGGATGTGACACCTCGGCAGGCAGAGCCCGGGGGACAGACCTGGGCCCTCGGACACAAGGTGTCACGGGACAGGGGCTGCCCTGGGAGGCGAGAGGGGCCACAGGGGGAGAAGGACGAGAACCCACGTCCCGACCGCGCATCTGACACGCGCGGAGCGGGGACACCGTGAACACACCGAGGGCAGAAGGGCCGGGCGGAGACCGCCTCGGAGCGACCGTAACCGGAAACGGAAATGACTCGATACGGCGCCGGAGCGATCGGCCTCGCTGCCTCAGGGCAGCGGGCTCTCCCTGNAGACAGGTCAAATCACACCTAAATCTATATTACTTGTCACTGAAAGATGGCAAAAGGTTATTGAACAAAACAGGCAATATATCACTGATTGATCTTTGTTCTTTATATAAATAAATGACCTTTGAAAAACAGAAAAAAATGTCATCACTTTTCTGACAACTCTATATAACTAGATTGGACCTTCTTACAGCTAATAGGAATCCACTGGAGAATTGAAAGTAAGAAAGTGATAGGAATAGATTTGTGTTTGTAAATGAGACTTTTGCTGAAGAATGGAATAAGACAATTAAGAAATCTTTGATGAATTTTGAAAATTAGATGATGGTTGGCTGCGATAAAGTCTTGGTAATGAAACTGTGCTGGGGAGGAGAAAGGAACAGAAAAAGAAATACAAGCAAAAGAATAATTTTGTCATTTTTTTCATATATAATATTATTGAGTATAAATGACACAGTGCTAAAGGCTGCGCATGCAGTTAAGGAAAAAAAAAACATTATATTTCCTCCCCTTCAAGCATTTCAAGTCTAATAAACAAATAAATATTAAGTCACAATATTGTGTTATTATATGAACCTAAAGACGTCACCAAGGAAGTAAACTTTGTATTTGGTTAGGCACAGTGTAAAGAAGCCCTGTCTAAGGCCTGTCTAATTTACTTAAAAATTATCAGAAGGGAATAGAAGTAGGAAGTATCCTAGAAGTCAGTGCTGGGTAACAGAGGCTGAGAGATAGGCAGTAAGGTAGTCCCACGCAGTGGAAATGGTGTTCCCTGAGAAGCTGAACACAATGATGTGTAACTGCCGTCAATTGTTCTGAAGGAGAAAACAAGGTCTGCACCGAGAACTGCTTGCTACAAGCTGTAACATTCTGGGTGACAGTCAAGGCCAACATTTTCAGTGTCTTTAAAAACATTTAGAAGCCAAGGAAGGAAAAAGGAAACATGAGGTTTTTGGCTTTTCAAAAGTTCACAAATACAGCACATATTATTAAAAGTTTAAAGAATAAAAAGATTACATAAATGATTATAGAATGAAATGAAAAAAACATTTCAAAGAAATCAGTAAAAGTTTTGACAGTGAAATCAAAGAATTAAAAAGGACTCATGAAAAGACAACACTGGTGATTAAAGCAGACCACCTATTCATTTAAAAGTATAATTAAGGGCCGGCCGAGCGGCGCGATGGTTAAGAACTGGTGTGGGACGCCAGAGGGCCCCGGTTCGGATCCCACATATGAGGGCCAGTGACACTGCCCTCTACAGCTAAGATGCTGAACGACAGCTCAACCTGGAGCTGGGCTGCTGTGAGTCGCCGGCGACGGCGTAGGCTACAGCCCCTGTGGCAGTCGGTTGCCAAGGGCTACCGTGTGTAGCCAGCACCCAGCGTGAGCGGCCAGCAGCCGCCATGAGCGGCCGTCCAGAAGCCGGCGACTGATCTGCCTTGCCGGGGAAGAGTGCTATGATGGTGCCAACTTGGGCCAGTGAAGCAACGTCCTCCACAACTATACTGAAGAACAAAACGACAGCAACTTGTCTGTTCCCTTTCCCCCAATTCCCCAGCACTGTTCCCATCCCCCCAATTCCCCAATAAAAATCTTTAAAAGAAAAAAAAGTAGTAATTAAAATTGTTAAGAAAAATGGAAACCTTCTGTTCTTATTAATTTCTATATGAAGGATAAATTAATTTCCAAGGAAATGTTATGAATATTCACTCACAAATAAGAACAATCTAAGTAGGAATATTTTAATATTAAATTATATATTAAAATCTATTTCCAAAATGGATTTGTGAGAGTTCTCTCAAACATGTAATGTAAAGTGCTCTAAAGGAGAAAAACGAGTCTGTTTTCATTAGTTAATCAGGCTAACCAAAATGTACATACATGTAGAAAAAAAATTGGAAATTACATCAACAGTCTTCATTGAGTACATTTTACAGAAAATATTAACACAATTTTATCCACTTAGCTGTTTATTTTAGCCATCTGGCCTTTACTGCTATGGTTAAATGCTAATACAACAGTCAAGTGGAGTTTACTCTAATAAAGAAAGGATGATTCGCTACTAGGAAACCTATTACTTTCAACAATTTTAAAGATCTGAAAAAATTAGATCACATCAGTAGACCCTTGGTGTCGCCTTACAGCCGATTCTTAGACCACCCCCCCTGCATTAGCCTCTGACCCATTAGTCGAGAGAGTGCCTCGGAAAACTGAGGCCGGATGGAATGATATCTGTAAAGCTCTCTCGGGGGGCGTCTCGGCCTGACTGGGACCTGATGGAATGATATCAGC